ATATATATATATATATATATATATATATATATATATATATTCTTTTTTTCTGATTTAGATCTATATTTATATATATATATATATATATATATATATATATATATATATATATATATATATATATATATATATATATATATATATATATATATATATATATATATATATATATATATATATATCGTATTTTTTTTCCATATCCCCATCTTAAAATTAAATTGTATTTTATTAAGATCTACCCCAACCCTCACAGCAATGTAAAATCTGTATTTATACCCAGTATTATTCCAATATTGATTATTGTTGTACAGTGTCGCAAAAATTGTTATGTTGATGCATGTATCTGCAGGTGTATCCTGTCTAGACTATGTTATGCATACATCTGCAGCCATACGTTAACGAGAAATATTTATATTATTTATAAAACTACCCATTAAATGCGATAATGCCCCTTACTATAGTATATAGAAGTAAGCATATCAGGACTTCTTTAACCTTTTTTTTCCTGTAACGTCGTTCCCTAAACTACAATCCTGCTCTATTTAGTTAATAACACGAAGAGAACTACAATCCATCAGCTACACACAGGTCCACCTGAACAGGTCCGCGCTGTTAAACTAAAGGTCAGGCTGAGCTGAAGCTCCAGAGCAGCAGGACTTCAAGATGTGTGACCAAATGCATGGCACGCTGTGTTTTTCCTCAATTAAACTAGATTTTCCCAGGTTAGAAATGGATTTTAAAAATGGAGGATTTACAGGCATTGGCTGGTAATTATTTTTAAACTCTGTTGCGACGTGATTTGACTCCAGTGTGAGGCATGTAAACACAGTGCTTTCAATTAAACCTGGAGATGCTGCGGGGGTTGCGGTGGAAACTGACAGTGTGCAGAGTCTGCGTGGGCTTCTAGAGCCTGTGATTTTATTTTATTTTATATATATATCTCTATATATGTCTGTTAGGAAACTAAAAGCCGGTGCCACTCCTGTCAGCTAAGAGCAGGAAACTGAGGCTACAATTCGCACCAAGGCTCACCAAAATTGGACAATAGAAGATTGTAAAAACGTTGCCTGGTCTCATGAGCCTTGATTTCTGCTGCGACATTCAGATGGTAGGGTCAGAATTTGGCATCAACAACATGAAAGCATGGATCCATCCTGCCTTCTATGAACAGTTCAGGCTGGTGGTGGTGTAATGATGTGAGGGATATTTTCTCGGCCACAGCCACACCACACTGCAGCCCAAGACCGGTTACTCATTGAAGCTAAGCAGGGCTGAGCCTGGTCAAAACCTGGATGGGAGACCACATGGGAACAACTAGGTCGCTGTTGGAAGAGGTATTAGAGAGGTCAGCATGGAGCGCTCAACCTGTGGTCTGTGTGAGTCCTAATCCCCCAGTAAAAGTTAAGGGGACACTATAGTGTCAGTGGGCGCTGTCTTTTGAATGAGATGTTGAACACAGATCCTGACTCTCTGTGGTCATTAAAAATCCCATGGCACTTCTTGGGGCAGTTCTGAAGGCATAAGGGATCCAACCTGGTACTAGTAAGGTGTACCTAATAAAGTGACCGGTGAGTGTATATGTATATATCAAGTGAGTAATAAGCTGTCATGTTTTATAACCATTTCTAAGCTGATGAGAGAAATGTTGAAGGTGTCTGAATGATCTTTGGTTCGAATTTCGATAAACACAACACAGACACACTCACGGTACAATGGGAGTTGTTTTAAACCAGTTTTGGAAAAAAATATGGGCAACCCGTGTGTGTGTGTGTGTGTGTGTGTGTGTGTGTGTGTGTGTGTGTGTGTGTGTGTGTGTGTGTGTGTGTGTGTGTGTGTGTGTGTGTGTGTGTGTGTGTGTGTGTGTGTGTGTGTGTGTGTGTGTGTGTGTGTGTGTGTGTGTGTGTGTGTGTGTGTGGGGTTGTGTGTGTGTGTGGGGTTGTGTGTGTGTGTGTGTGTGTGTGTTTGTCTGCATGTGTGGGTCTGTGTGAGTGTGTTTGGCTGTGTTTTTTTACTGTCTGTGTGTGCATGTGTATGTATTTATGGGTGTGTGTCTGTGCACATGTCTGTTTGTACAGTTTGTGGGTCAGTGTTTGTGTCTTGGTATGTGCGTTTATTTGCCTGTGTGTGTGTGTGATGTTGTATGTTTTTCAAAAACCCATAATAGGGGCTCTTTAAAAGAAGGGTTATTTCTTGTAAATATCATCTTTTGTGGTCCACAGGAGGCGTGCAGGATCAGGAAGACACAAGGGTGAGTACAATTTCAAAAACATTTAAGAGAAAATAAGAAATATTTATTTCATGTGTAACACAGAGCACGATTCTCCATAGTGTAATTAAAAAAAAAACCTTGAGTGTCATCTATGGCATTCAGTGGCCCTCGGCATTATTTACCGCGGTGTTTAAAGTGGAGCGGAGTGACTGGAGTTCAGTGAAAATGCAGGCGGTAAAAGCTCTGCGTCTGTTAGCGGAGGCCTGGAGGGATTTCAGCTGCTGAAATAAACCAAGCGCTCCGTGACAGCAGATATTGTAACAAAAGAAAACGGGAAACAATAAAGACACAAAGGGAAAGCAGCTCTCTTGATGAATTGTGGTTTAAAGAGCCACAAGCGTTTACAAATGCATCTGTTGTGCTCGAACAAAAACTCCAGTTAATGATTACAGGGATAGTTCACCCAGAAATCAAAATGTACTCAATTTATAATTTGAAGAATGTTTAAAATCAGTAACTTCTAACTTCCATAGAAGGAAAAACAACTACTATAGAGGTCAATGGTTACTCCTTTCCAAAATGTAAAAAAAATACATATACAGTTGAAATCAGAAGTTTACATACACTGTATAAATAGGCACATCACCATTTAAAAAAAGTCAAATGTTAATGTGACTAAACCTTTACTTTTTTAGGTAAGTTAGGATTATCAAATTTGTTTCGGTCATGCCTAATAGTAGAATAATGAGAGAGATATTTTTGAGAAATTGTTATAACTTTTCTTGAAAGTCTGGTTTACATACAATAACATTATTCTGCCTCTGAAAAAGCTCAGATGATAATGTCAAGGTTTTGGAAGTTTCTGATTGGCTAATTGACAACATTTGAGTTAATTGGAGGCACAATTGTAGATTAGTATTAAAGGACAACCCCAAACACACTGCTTCCTTGTGTGACAACATGGGAAAATCAACAAGCCAGAATCAACAAAAAAGCCAGATTATAATTAGCTAAATTACACAATTAAACTGGGGGAAAAGACTAAATTTTGGAGACATGTCCTGTGGAACTAAGATTAAACTGTGTGGCCATAATGACCAGTGTTACATTTGGAAGACAAAGGGGAAAACTTACAAGCCTAGGAACACCATCCCAACTGTGAAGTATGGGGGCGGCAGTATCATGTTGTGGGGCTGTTTTGCTGCAGGAGGGGCTGGTCCACTTCACAGCATAGATGGCATCATGAAGAAAGAACATTATGTCGAAATACTGAAGCAACCCAAGACCCAATCTCAAGACATCAGCCAGGAAATGAAAACTTGGCCACAAATGGGTCTTCAAAACAGTCCATGACACTAAGCATACTGCCAAATTAGTTCAAATGTGCTTTAAGGACAACAGAGTGAATGTTTTGGAGTGGCCATCACAAAGCCCTGATTTCAATCCTATAGAAAATTTGTGGGCAGAGTTGAAAAAGCTTGTGCGAGCAAGACAGCCTACAAATCTGACTCAGTTACACCAATTCTGTCTGGAGGAATCGGCCAAAATTCCTGCAAACTATTGTGAGAAGCTTGTGGAAGCTTGCCCAAAACATTTGACCAAAGTTATACAGTTTAAGAGCAAAGCTAAAAAATACCAAGGAAATGTGTGTAAAAATTTGACTGTTTAGAAATGAATAAAAAATTATCTAAAAAAACAATTCTCTCATTATTCTGGCATTTAGCAAATGTAAATCATTTAGGTAATCCTAACGGACCTAAAATAGTAAACATTTAGTATGATTTACCATCAGACATTTAAAAAATGGTTATGTTCCTCTTTTTAGAGTGTATGTAAACTTCTGGTTTCAACTGTATTTTGCACTTATTTTTCTAATATAAAGGTGCTTTTCCTAACAGCATCAATAGCCATCAGTAAAGTGTGTTAGTGCCTGTGCTCATTTTCAGCAGTTGATTGTTGATTGTTATAATTAAATAGCAATGTGTTATAAGTCTTATAAGTAAGGCCAGACACAATCTGCAGACATTTTTTGCTGTTTTTGTGGAGAATTTTGTAAAAATTCAGTGAATTTAAGTGGAATTATTTTGAGAATATTAAAACTAAAATTTAATATATGAAATAAAAATAATATCTTTTTTACTTTTATTTAATCTTTCCAATGCAAATCCAATTAGATCCACTTATTTGGTAAACAAAGCAAGTCATTTAGTTATTTGAGGGCCCTAAGCAATTCGAGCCACGAGACCGGTAAGCCCTACAGTAATATGCACATTTTGTATTTGTATTTATTTAGCTGTCTTTTTCTTATTTCACCCAGTCTTGCTTTCTACATTTTTATCTTAATGTATTCTCCAAGTTTGAAAAGATTTGTTTACTTAAAATTAATTTCCAATTAAAAATAATGAATAAACTATTTGTTTTTAAGACTAAATGTTCATCTGTTTTAACTGCTGGACTGATCCATGATTGGGGGTAGGGGGACACATTTGCGCAGATGTACTAATAAAGGTAAATTTGTATTTGTCATACGCTTATCCCATAAAATATGATCACAAATGTCATTATATATAATTTATAGAAACTTCTACGTATTTAGCGTGCCTAAGCGGCTGTTTACCTTTCTTATTGGTTAAATCCGCCCCTGTGTATAAAAAAATTACTGATTAATTTCTAATAATTATACATAATTCACATTGCTCAAAGCAAAGTAGGATTTTCTCGGTTACTCTGAATTAAATGTATGAGAAAAATAGCAGTTAATCTAAAGTATAGTAAATGATATGGTTTAGCGTTAGTAGAATTAAAGAAGAACGACAGCATAATAATAATTCATTCATTCATTCATTTTCCTTCGGCTTAGTCCCTTTATTCATCAGGGGTCACCACAGCAGAATGAACTGCCAACTTATACAGCAAAGATATGTCACAACGGATGTCCTTCCAGCTGCAACACAGTACTGAAAAAAATATCCATACACACTCATTCACACATATACACGGCCAATTTAGTTTATTCAATTTACCTGTACCGCAAGTCTTTGGACTGATATTTTACGTTTTGTCAGTTTAGTGGAGAATTCATACAAGTTCAATCGTACTAAAATGTACGATTTGTAAAAAGAGGCTTGGCAACCAACCCCACCCCTAATCTCAACCGTCATTGGGTGATAAGCAAAAAAAGCAAGCTGACCTGCCGCTCTAGGCAAAGGACAGTCACGCCGCCCTCAACCCGAAAGTGAAAGCGGGAGGTTGGCGAGCTGGAGCTGACCTCGCCCTCTCTATTCTGCCGCCCTTATTGCGGATATTACTAAAGACGCAGGTGGTAAGAGGGGTTTCGCAGATGCCGCCCTCTCTATTCTGCCCCCCCAGGCGGCAGCCTAGGTCGCCTCCATGGACGCGCCGGCCCTGCTCACACAGTCAAGTGATGCGATTTCGCAGTTGAGAGTTCACCAAGCTTGAACTTTGCACCGCAGCAACCGGCGAAACTTGACGCATGACCCCGTGTTTATACGGTCTGAGGCGTTTGCGTGCATATGAATGGAAGTCTATGGGAGGAAAAGCCCAGTGTGACCGCAGCTTAAAATGTAAGAAATATATCGTACAAATTCACACAAATTAGCGACTAAATCAAAAAGTTACGAATTGCTGTGAGATTGTGTTGCAAAAACCCGTGCAAACACAGAAATTAAAACTGACCCAGCCTGGACTCAAACCAGCGTCCTTCTTGCTGTGAGGCGACAGTACTAACCACTGAGCCACTGTGTTGCATATAATAATAATAATAATTATAATAAAAATAATCTTATTAAGTAAAAAATTATTAAATTCGGGAACACAGCCTGTAAAAATATTTATATCTTTACATTTAAAATGTTAAATATGTTTTTCTTAACTTTATATTCATAAAATAATCAACATCATTGATTAAAGCATTTTTAATTCACTTCACTCTCGCATTTAAATGTTTCTTGAGCATCACATCAACATATAAAAACCATTTCTGAATCATCATGTGACATGGAGGACTCATATTATGATGCTGAAAATTCAGCCTTTCATCATAGAGAATTAATTACATATCAATATAAAATAAAAAAAATCTAAATAGCAGATATTTCATGCCTTGTTTACAATAAGATACCTTTATAATAAGAAGTATAGTGTACATGTTTAAGTACATGCTATATGTGTATTCTCTTGTTTTCAAAGGAAAAACCATGCATTTCTACATTATATATGCTATGTATACACACAGGCAGCCGAACAGAGAGCAAACATTCACTTTAGAGCAGATATTGCTGTTTAAGGTGAGGTTTGCAGGCCTTAGCATCTCTATGAGCCTAATGGAAAACATTTACACACCTGCGGCTTTATCACATCTACATCTTTAACACACAATAATAACAGCCTTGTTTTACTTGATCTCCTTTCATGCCTCTAAGTTTCTCATCTCATTTAACATCCAATTTATGTAGTTACGACACACTTAAATAGCCCGACGGCATAAATTCCAGCAGTAACCTACACATTCCTCTGTGTGTGTGTTTGTGTTTGTGTGTGTACAGGTTTGGAGTGTATTGCAGAGGAAAGTGAATGGAGAGTAATGGATGGTTTGCTGTGAGTGAGTGTCTCGGGCTCACCAAATACAATTTTTCTCTTCAAACAATCACTCTGTGTCTCTGAGGAGCCCCGGGCGCAGTAATTGATATGATTAGCCGTAAGTGGCTGCTTCACAGCTATGTTATGTCTGTTTTATTGTAATTAGATTTTTTTGGTGGTCGTCTTTGAGGAGCTGAACTTAATGACTACATGTTCTCCCTCTGAAGTATTCAATCAGACGCTCATTAGACGAGAAAGACAGATTCATCTTTTCTGATTTTCGACTGATTTTTTTTCTCCCCCTCTGCCTCTCCGTCTCATCTTCTGTCTTGTTTTCCTGTTTTCCTTCGTTCATATAGATGATTCGTCGCTGGAATGAAACGGCGATTTGTAATTTCCGCCTGGCGGTTGGAGTAATAGCGGACAAAACAATTGGTTAGTTCGCACACAAACTGATGCCAAGTTGTGCTCTCAACATTTACTGAGCCTTTATTTTGATTTATGTCATGTCAATTTGCTAATTTACAGCTAAAAGTCTGTGAACTTTACAGTGTTTTTTTTTTTGGCTAGAGTACATTGTTATTCTTTAAGTGAACCGTTCATTTGAGGCAATTAATCCATTAAAAAAATAAAGTTTCTATAGTCAAGTCAAAGTCTTTGGGTTTGGAGTTGTGGCCATTCTCTGAAGATGTCAGTTTGACTGCTTAAGCCACAATATTTGCAACCATGGCCCTCTTACTATTAGTTTGCTATGAGGGAATGATGTGCAAAAAGAAGTCCCGCCCCTTTAGTTTCAGTTAGAAGTACATCCACACACTGAAGTGAAAGTCTCAGCAATTTCCATTTCCCAATGTCATTAAATAAACAAAATTTCAATAATAGTGTTTCCTTGTTGTGTCCTATTGGTTTATTTTGACTTTCTTTTTTAACATTTACCACTCTTTAACATGCAGATTTACACAACCCAGGCTCATTCATATTATGTACCTCTATATACATTTCTGATTTTGTTTTCACAAATCCGCTAGAGGCCGCTATATATGCATTTTCAGATCTCAAATTTCTCTCACGACTGCCATTTGCGCCTGCTGTTCTCAAGTAAATGTACCAAAGGCAGCTGTCGACTGACTGATTTACTGACTCATGTTCCCTAAACCCAACCAATAGTGTTTTAAAAAGCACCGATTGACCCGCCCACCCCCTTCCCTAAACCCACCCGCAGTGTTTTAAAATGCAATACAGAAAAAGATAAGCCCTCTGATTTTTACCATGCTTTCAAATTTAACCACAATCTCGCCGTTATTTACTTGTTTAATTTATTTTTTACGTTTTTTTTTTTTCTTCTTACCTGCTATCTGGAACCGATCTTAACCAGACTCGAACTCCGTTGTCTCGTTTAACTCCACTCTGCATCTCAAGTCCGCCAACAGCAGGAAAGCTGTCCATACAGAGGTTAGCAGTCAGCTGGTAAGCAAGAAAAGAAATTGTATCATACTACAGCTTTACATTAGTTTTAAAGGTGAAATGCAGCCATACGTAGCTGTGGCTACATGATTCGCGATCTCCAGAAATATATAGGCCTACATTTTCAGAATGAACCTATGTTGGATTTATATATTAGCTACACCCTTTTTTGTGATAAATTTTTATTGATTTTATAAGTGAGTGGTCACAGCATCTTTACAATTTTCTCTCAATAAATCCCCCCTCCCCCTCCCCCCCCCCCAGGCCACCAGAAAAACACCCACCTGACCCTCCAGCCGTGCCAAAGTCCGTGTCATCCCACAAATAACACTGCAATCAAGACAAATAAGTAACAGAAAAAATATATATACATACAGTTGAAGTCAAAATTATTAGCCCCCTTTAATTTTTTTTTCTTTTTAAATATTTCCTAAATGATGATTAAAAAAGCAAGAAAATTTTCACGGTATGTCTGATAATATTTTTTCTTCTGAAGAAAGTCCTATTTGTTTTATTTTGGCTAGAATAAAAGCAGTTTTTAATTTTTTTAAACACCATTTTAAGGACAAAATTATTAGCCCCTTTAAGCTATATTTTTTCTCGATAATCTACAGAACAAACCATTGTTATACAATAGCTTGCCTAATTACACTAACCTGCCTAGTTAACCTAATTAACCTAGTTAAGCTTTTAAATGTCACTTTAAGCTGTATAGAAGTGTCTTGAAAATATCTAGTAAAATATTATTTACTGTCATCATGGCAAAGATAAAACAAATCAGTTATCAGAAATAAGTTAATAAAACTATTATGCTTAGAAATGTGATGAAAAAAAAATCCTCTCTTGTTTAAACAGAAATTGGGGAAAAATAAACAAGCAGTCTAATAATTCAGGGGGGCTATTAATTCTGACTTTAACTGTATATGAACCTAAGATACACATATCCTAAACACAAAAATAATGAATACAAGGTATTTTTACAGTCCATAATACTAAAAAAATGAATACACATATACACACATGTATGGATATATACCTGCCCATACATATACATATCCGTACACACATACATGTACATTGATACATCCATACTTACATAGTAAAACACTAACAAAAGTAAATAGAAATTCACACAGACAATCAGAGATTTAAAGATTCAGGTTGCTTGTTAAACATTAATTTCTATTATCCATAAGTCTTTCTGTCAGTTTGTCCGCAGCCCTTTTCCACGCATCAAGAGTTGAAGCTCTAGCTTTATTGATTCTGGCTGTTGAAAGTTCTAACAATACTATATCGTCAAACTGAAATAGCCACTGCCGAATAAATAAAGAATGCAGAGGGAGCCATCTTTGCGCAATTCTCTTTTTTGCAGATGTTAATCCTGCCAATCAGACCATTCTTTGTCGCTCCATCAACCCATACTGAAACATCATTTAAAAGCAGCACAACTGGTTGCACTGGTATATCTTTTTCTATAATTTCAGATAATATCAATGAATTTTTTTTTCCTAAACTCAAACACCTTTTCACAATCCCACACCATAGCTATAAATGTTCCAACCTGTTGGTGAGAACAAAAACTGCATTTGAGACTTGGGGATAATATACAGAGAAAACTTTAACTTGGGTGTCCAGTTAAATGTATTAACTGGGGATTTGGATTTTTTGAAGAACAAAATATTTTCCAAACTGTCTCCTAACCAATCTGGTCCTCAGATAACTCACTAGCCAAATTCACTGGTATTGAAACTTGCTTTTGGTTAGTGTTACGACCTTATTAAAGTCTAGGGGTTTTTGCTGAAAAGGTGTAACAAAGAAAACCAAAATTTGGTCAATTATATTGAATTAGAACGAACTAAAGAAAAAGATAAGCGTGGAGAACACACTTCAATCCTCAGCCCCAGAGTGAAGAGTCAACACAAAGTTTAGAAAAAATAATCATAAGAATTTATTTAATACAAATATGGAATTTTAACTGAAACTAGAGGTCTAAACTGAGTGAGTATAGCCTAAAACAACAAACAGAAAGCAGCTAGCTAAAGTTTAGAGGACTAGCTCACCTAATGAAAAATCAAAGATGAAAATCAACAACACAAACTTCCCTGAGCTTCCCCTCTCAACCTTAAACAGGCGAAAAGATATACAAAATAAAACAAGGCACTCACCCTTTAGGCACACTTGGAAGTACACAAAATAAAAAAAGAAATGAAAGCACAACAAAGTTAATTTGGCAATAAAGATTGCTGAACTGCTGTAAACACTTGTGAACAATATCACCACACAATACAACTTTAAGTGACCAATATCACAAAAAACCCAACCAACTGTTGCGCTTAATAGCTGGGGAGAAGTGTTCGTCAACTCACTAGCTTAAAAAGCCAGTATTTTAAGCCAAACCTCTCCAACTAAAGCAGGTTCACAATGACTAACAGCTAGGTGAGAGAGAGAGAGCAGGGTGGAGCACAACACTTTATGCAAAGCCTACACACAAAATTATGTTTTGGCTAGATAAATAAATAGATATGGATAGATAGATAGACAGACAGATAGATAGATAGATAGATAGATAGATAGATAGATAGATAGATAGATAGATAGATAGATAGATAGATAGATAGATAGATAGATAGATAGATGGATGGATGGATGGATGGATGGATGGATGGATGGATGGATGGATGGATGGATGGATGGATGGATGGATGGATGGATGGATGGATGGATGGATGGATGGATGGATGGATAAATAGATTAGATAGATAGATAGATAGATAGATAGATAGATAGATAGATAGATAGATAGATAGATAGATAGATAGATAGATAGATAGATAGATAGATAGACAGACAGACGGACGGACGGACGGACGGACGGACGGACGGACGGACGGATGGATGGATGGATAAATAGATTAGATAGATAGATAGATAGATAGATAGATAGATAGATAGATAGATAGATAGATAGATAGATAGATAGATAGATAGATAGATAGATAGATAGATGGATGGATGGATGGATGGATGGATGGATGGATGGATGGATGGATGAAGGATGGATGGATGGATGGATGGATGCTGTAGATAGGCAGGCAGGCAGCTAGCTAGATAGCTAGATAGATAGATAGATAGATAGATAGATAGATAGATAGATAGATAGATAGATAGATAGATAGATAGATAGATAGATAGATAGATAGATAGATGGATGGATGGATGGATGGATGGATGGATGGATGGATGGATGGATGGATGGATGGATGGATGGATGGATGAAGGACGGATGGATGGATGGATAGACAGGCAGACAGATGTGGATGGATGGATGGATGGATGGATGGATAGATAGATAGATGATATGAATAGATGGAAAGATAGATAGATAGATAGATAGATAGATAGATAGATAGATAGATAGATAGATAGATAGATAGATAGATAGATAGATAGATAGATAGATAGATAGATAGATAGATTATAAGTAAACGATCCCTTTAAGCCAATGCGGGGTCAAATACGAGCAAACCCAATGCTCGGTTATTTTTTACATTTTTATTCAAACTGTTGGGATTGTCAATGTTATCCTGCCCTAAGACATTAGAGCATTTTTAACAGCCTAACAACACCCTGGCCACCATTCACAAGAGCATGTTTTAAACAAGCAAGCGACCCCAAATGTAAATATGTGCTTTAGTCAAATAAAATATTGCAATTAAGGCCAAAAACACAGGCGATAACTCCACCAGACAGCAATTGTGTCTGTCATCACATCTGATTTAATATATAATAAAAAAGCTGTTAAGGCAAATTATGAATGTTTAATGAAATCTAATAATTTTTTAGTTCATTCACATGCTTGTCTGCCTGCCTGATTCAAGCAGCTCAGCGCTGCTCAGTATAGGAGGGAGTTTGTGTAATTGGCTGATAATGGGTTTTATAGAACGTGTTGTCATAAAAGAGGGTGTTTTCATTTCTTATTAAACTCTCATTGAAAGCCGGCGTCCCTCTCATTGTGGCTCCACGTGAAGGTTTAAGTGCTCTCTTTGCAGGTGTTTTCCTGAATTCTGGAGGACAGAAAGAATGCTTGCAGATTTGTGGCCTTTGATTGCGTGTTTGTGCCATAAAAGCTGTAGATGTAATACGAGTTGCTCAGTGTAAAGGCTTTAGTGTCTTAATTAGCCCCCGATTGCTCTGTGAAAGCCCTCAAGTGCCTAAATTAGCTGTAAAAAAAACACTCAGTGCATTAACATGTCTCGGAGAAAAATTGAAAATAGAGGAAAACAAAATCCAGTGTATTAATCACAAAGACGGCAGTTTGACTTGTTAATAAAAGCAGATTGATAAATTGATTGATTGATTGATTGATTGATTGATTGATTGATTGATTGATTGATTG